CACACACACCATCAAAGCCTTTCTAACCCTGCCATGACGTAGTATTTAATAATACATATGTAATAAGTACATCCCAACTGGAGGGGTTTTTTTTGGTTTGTTTTAATAACGAATTCCTGACAAGGTTCTGATACAGGATAGGCAATCGGATCCTCGCTGCTCTGACACTGGCTTCTTCCATATCAGATTGGCAAGTGGCATGACATGGCCGGCACAGTCTTTGCAAGTGGGCACTGACCGTTTCTCCACAGATGCCAAGGGCATGTTTCTTGTTCATGAACCCAAATGAAGTTTGCGCCAAAGGGATCATTTTACCTCAGCAACAGACGGAGGTTATCTTGCCCTTCAACTTGTTCATACTTCACAGAAAGGACCAAGTAGCTCAAAGTTGTGTCACTGGCATAAAAATTCTGATGCTCCTAAAAGCAAAAGGTTAGAATAGCTATTTATGTCACCATACCCAGGAAGAAATAAAAGGAAAATCTCCAACTTTCACCGTTGCCTTGAGGCCGCTGGCTTTACTGCCAACCCCCCCCCCCCCGGTTCCTCTGAATTCTGGACCACCTTGAGTTAAACAGAGTCTCTTGTGAACATGAGAAACCTTCGTAGGCTAAACTGAGATTGGGGGCATTAGGCATTGCCATACATGTTGTGATACAAGAACGTATTCTGGAGTCATATTCTTGTGGCTGTGACACTAGCATGCTCCACTAGTGAGCAGCCTGTGAATGGTGTTGTGGCCGAGGTCCCGATTTGTGGGCATTCCTGGAGTTTCTAAGGAGACAGGGAGGGAGTGTATCTACCATCCCCAGAGATACTGCAGGGCATGTATTGGCCCTTCCCTGAGACGCCTGACTGGGGCCAAGACAACCCATCTTTTGGTGCCAAATTAAAACCCAGCTGCTTACCCAAACATTTGGCAATAAAAAAATTATAGCTTGGTCTCAAATCATTATTATTGTGCTTCAAAGCATTCAGAATCTATGAATTATTTTAAAGTATTCAATTGTTTTACGTCTTCGGCTGTAATTTTATTGGAGGTAACCCACAATGAGATTGGTTGATTTAGGAAGGCTTAGAAATATTTCAATAAATGCAATCAAATAAATACAAATTCTTAATCACATATGTATTTTTATTGCGTGTTTTCTCCTACCCTCCTGGGCTTGGTGTGCATGGACAGCTAATCCAGTAGCACAAGAGCACCTTATCTACCTACATCGACACAGCAGTGTAATTAGACAACAGGGTTGATTTGTAAGCTGTGCCACTTCTAAAACATATGGAATCTATATTTTGTTAAACACCCTAAATGCAGTTTGCACCACTAAGTGTCACTTGCTTATTAGTCTGAGTTCCTGCACATCATGTACAAATTGAAGCACAGAAGGGGAATATTTGGGGTACCACAAAGGGGTTAATAGAACTTCAGTTCTCCCACCTTTCCCAGGAAGTGTTTGCGGTATAGCCTGGCTGTTGGGTCACACTCCAGCTTCACTTTACCGCTGCAAGGAGAGGGCAGCTCGAACGGTTCTGAGCTGGAGACAGGAAGGCTGTGAGAGGTCCCCTCAATCCAGTAGCCCCCAAATTGGGGTAAGATAATGAGGGGGTAAGGCCACCCTCTCCGTAACACCTTTGGAAAAAGAAAGAAAGTCTGGGAGCAGGCAAACATAGGGAGTCAAGGCAGAACTGCATTGCTTGAACACTAAATGGGCAGAATATAAGTACAACAAACATAGGGAGTCAAGGCAGAACTGCATAGCTTGAACACTAAATGGGCAGGATATAAGTACAAACAAACAAATACATAAACTAATCTCCATCACTGGTCCAAAGCCTGTTGGTTATACTTGAGCTGCAAGCCTAATACCTAAATGCCTCAATGGCATGACTTCTGGCGGGGGGAGGGAACTGCCTCAAGTTCAGAAATCAAGTTCAGGAGGCCGGCAAATACGGTAGTTACCATAGAATTTCCAAGACCTGAATATTGCCATACAAAATCTGGCTACTTGGTAAGTGATCTTGAAGTCTATATCACAAAGAAGAAACTCAGTTCTTTCTTTCTTTCTTTCTTTCTTTCTTTCTTTCTTTTTCTTCTTTTTTTCTTTTTTCTTTTTGCATCATGCTAGCCTATAAACCTAACAAGATCTTGACCACTACCCTGTTTCCCCGAAAATAAGACCTAACCTGAAAATAAGCCTGAGTATGATTTTTCAGGCTCATAATATAAGCCCTATTCCACCCCCCCGAATAAGCCCCAGTTAAGTGAAACCCCGCCCTCAACCATTGCGCAGCAACCAGAAGATGACATGACTGTATTTGAATAAATGTAGATCGTTGTACATGAAAAAAATAAAACATCTCCCGAATATAAGCCCTAACAGAAGATGACATGACTGTATTTGAATAAATGTAGATCGTTGTACATGAAAAAAATAAAACATCTCCTGAATATAAGCCCTAAAGCGTTTTTTTGTTTGTTTGCTTTTTTGGAGCAAAAATTAATATAAAACCCTGTCTTATTTTTGCGAAAACACGGTAGATTTCACTTGGGACCTGTAATATCTGAGTGTAAAATGAACCCAGCCTACAGCCTTACACGCAACTGGACCAAAATTAAAACCTTTAAAATCAATTTTTTAGGGAGTCAGATAAAAAGCATTTTGCCAGAGGCACCCTTTTAATGCCATGTCTTCTGCAAACAGATCCAATCTGGTACCTTCCCTATGAATGTTTAAGAGTTCCTCGTTTTCTTAGGGCTTCTAAAAACCCTTTGTTTCATGCCCAACCATACAGCGCCTGAGAATAATTTCTGAATTCTCTATTTTCTAGCTCAATCAGTCCCCTCTCTGCAATCATCTCATACAACTGGCAGCAGATTTGAGTAAAGGAAAAAAACACACTACACTTTGACACATTAAACTGTATTCAACAACTGTAGCACACAACCATTCAAACTGATACCTGACCCACTCTTGTGTGTGCAGGTGTGTGCATCTGAGCCAGTCTCAGCTTTTCCTAGTCAAATATCTCTGAACCGAACACCAAACCATGGTTGGCTTTGCTGTGGCTCACCTCATGGATGCTGGGATATGGGATATACTCCTCTTCTCTCTGAAAGCATAAAGAGGTCATTAGCAAAAATGCATCACGGTTGAGGAAGCGGAGATGATGCACATTGTACTGTATGGGTTCTGTGCATCCTATCACACACGTATTTGCCACCTGGGAGTTCTCCAAACCTTTTGGGAGATCTTTTGAGCCAAAGGAAACATGAGCACTGGGGGCCAACCCCACCCGCTGACTTTATCCACCGTTAGACAATGCTTAAAAAACCCATTTCAACCAGCTCCTGGGAATAATGCTTCCATTCATGAGAAAACCTAGAAGTACTCATGTCCAGTTTCCTCTCTGCTGCAATCTATAGTCCTTAGAACAGTGAGTGCATGGCCAGTTTGAGCCCTTTTCGCTTTAATAAAGAACCCTGTTGGATTTCATAATTGTGACTACTAGCCGGTTCTGTAGTTTGAGACCCTTTTCACGTTTGCCTTGTAAAACAGTGATAGGCAAAGTGTACCCCTCCCCTAAGTGTCATGGGATAGCAACTCCTAGCATTCCCTATCACTGGGATGTGACAGCAGCGGTGGATGGGAGTTGTAGATGAGCAACATCTGGAGGGGTGCGCTTTACCTACTCCATTCTAAAATACAGTATCTGCAGCCCCTTCCAGCATACCATTATTGGCAAATGCAATAGGTGGTTTGTCACCACCTTCTTCATGAATGTCCCCCACTGATGATATTTAACAGAAATGGGTCTAACAACTACATTTTAGAGTCAGGGCAGGGAACTTTTTTCTCATTTTTAAATGAAGGCCCAGTGGTCCATGCAGAAGTTGGTTGGGGAGGCATGCATCATTCCTTCCAGGAATGGGAGTTCTCCGTTTTCCACGGAACTCCTCCACCCCAAGGAAGGGCCATATGCTGCAAAAACAGCCCTGAGTTCTTCCCCCCAACACGCGATAGATGTTATCACTTTGTCCTTGCCCCTCCCAAGTGCTTACGAATTTGTTATACTATTCAATCCAGTATATTCTGAGAGATATCTCTTTTTTTAAACAAAGGCAAACATGATAACGTTTTATCTCCACTCTTCTAGGACCACAAGCAGTTTACTTTAGGTGGCCAAAAAATATTTAAAATATTTCTACCCCATCTTTCTCCTACAAAAAGACCCAAGACAGCTTTTTCCTTTTTAATAAACTGCTATGAACAAAAGATGCCAAGAAGTTAGTAAGACTGCTCAGCTAGACAGGTTGAGGGAAAATGGTGAAGAAAATCAAATGAAAGCTATATTTTACAAATCAAGCAAGAACATCTACACATCCTAATTCATTTAATTAGTGACTTCTTCACCTCTACTTTAGCGCAAATCTACACCTGCATAGGCAAACAGGAAGGGCAGAACGGACTTGAACATGCAGACATCAGCTAGGTAGGGAATTAATTGCCCATGCAATCTAACCATGAAAAAGACTCTGTCTACATATCATCCTAATTTTGTCTGATTTCAATGTCAGGTCTGGTTAGTGGTGGTGGGATGGGAAATCAGTAGTGTGGTTTCCAGAGAAGGTCTGGAAAGATCCCTGGCTGAGAGCTGCTGCCACCTCTGTTAACAATACAGGCCTAGATGGGCTAAGAGTCTGACTCAGTATAACCCAATTAGTTTTCCTACTTGGAAAATTAGCAAGAATGAGAAAAGTATCAGACAGCTGGTGCAGGAAGCTAGGAAGCCCTGTGCGAATCTGCACTAGCACATTACTAAAAGTCACACTCAGCGACTGGGATACAACCTATGCTAAAAAGAGTTGTGCTCCTCTTATAGAGCAGGTTTGCAGTCATATTCCTTGATTTTCTACTGTCTCTGCATTCTCAGGTGACAGCGTGTCAAGCAGTCTTAACGAAGACGACTCAACTTAAGGCAACAGCTATGACTTTTCTTGTGTTAACCTGACTCGGCTACAGTCATCCATGCCTTCATTATCTCACACCTTGTGTACTGCAATGCACTCTGTATACACTTGCTCTTGAGTAGGGTCCAGGTTCTCTAGTTGGTGCAACAAGAGGCAACTAGGCTGATAACTGGCACATGATATCAAGAGATCATATGACTCCAATACTGAAACATCTGGACAAGTTGCCAGTTGCTCCTTGGGCCCAGTTCAAGGCATTGCCCTAAACCTTCAAACCTTAAAACAGCTTGGGGGCTGGGCAACTTAACAGAGAGCCTCTCTCCCCATGAAGCTGCATAGCTACTAAGATGCTGAAGAAAGGTCCTCCCAAGAATGCCGACACCTACAGAGGTCTATTGGATAGGCATGCGGCAGATGGCTTTCTCCTGTGTTGCTCCCAGACTGTGAAATGCAGAGCCATGACCAAATCCCTCTCTTGCTGCTTTTTGAAAGGGACTGAATACACCTCGTCATAAACTGGTTTCTGACACTATTTAGTATTTACTGTGATGGTTTTAGCTGTTTTAAAATTAAGATAGTTTTAATGTTTTTATGATTGTATATTTTTTAAAATCTGCTGTGTCTATTCTGTTTTTATAGTGTGCATCATCCACCTTAATGCCCACACTGTAGCGTAAAAGTTGGACAGAAATACAATAAATAAAGAAACAGCACAGGAAAGAAACAGCTGAATTGGTGCTCATCATTTTGCCTCCTTTTGCCTACTCTTCTTTTTGGAGTGATGGTTATGTTGCTGGGTTTTCCCGGAAGTCTGATTTATATTATTTGGCCACACTTTGAATTACAGCCCCTAACTGCCTGAGCTGCATCTTGCCTCAGTATCAGAGCCACTCCATCTCTCCCAAATTTATCATTTCCAGAGTAAAACACTTTATAGTTGTCTGACTGAAAATATGGCATTCCAGTCCACTTTAGTTTACTGACACCAAGCACTGCAATGCTTTAGAGTCGCATTTCTTGCTTTAGGATTTCCAGTTTACCTTAATTCGTATTGCTCATGTTCCACATCCCAATTGTATGTGTTGAGCAGCATCAGACTTTCCTTTCACCTCTGTACACATCAGGCACTAGATGTCTTTTCAGCTTTAATCTAACCGCATAATTAGCAACAACACTATTCATACCTGTCCTTCACTCTTCTTCCATAGCAGATCGAGTGTTTTTTCAACCTAGGAGTCTTATATTCTAGCACTATCACTTTTTTCATTTTGGACTATCTCATCGTAAGTTTTTCAAGTTTACCATTGCATTCTTCAGCACAATACTAACAAAATTTAGCTTGAGTGTCACTGCCACTGTCAGCGAAAGATCCTCTGCCAGTGTGATCTTCAGCTTTTGATCCTGCTCAGTAGTTGCCCTCTAGATGTTTCTCTGTCCCCTTACCATTGGAACTATCCATTCTCTCCTGCTGATGAAGCTATTACTCTTGAAGAGGGTGGATTGCAGCTTAGTCTGGTGCCTCAGCTGTGAACATCCCACCTTGGGCGACCTTGCTTACAGTCCAGGCAAGTCTTACCTTGAGTCTTACCTCTCAGTGGCATTGCTCTAAGCTTTTGTAACCATATTGAAAAACCCACCATGTGTAAGGTGTATATCCAAGAAGGGGAGAAGCTGAAAGAAATGTATGATGATGTTTCCTTCAGATCTCCCCAGAGTTGTGCTCTGAGACCAATAATGACTTAAAAGCCACTTTTTCTAAAAATGTGTGTTCCATTGGTTTTTTTACTTTACCACAACACCTTTCTAGCATTAGCTCTTCCTTATTCTCTGGCTTCCTCTCTCCCACATCTGGCTCTCCCTCTACACACCTCTATTTCCAGGTGCCCTTAATTGTAACTAATGTATTTGGAAAGTTGCTGCACATTCCTACTCAGAAGAGTGAAGGGATACACTTGAGGCTACCACACATTTGGGAGCTGAATACATCACTGCCGTCTGTTCCGGATGCACCAAATCATTAACAAAAAAGCCTGTTTTCCACTCTTTGGCACAGTCTCAATGTGGGTTGTTTAATGTTCACCCTAAAGTGTGACAGAATGCTGGAAACCCTTGGATTGCCTCTTGTATTGTTGTTTTTAATTCCAACACAGCATCAGAAAGCCCACTGTAAAACCAGAAAACAAAGCTGACCTTGAGTGTAGCTGGAAGTGAACATCTTTGCTCATCCAAACGACTTCTCTAGAAGAAGAAGAAGAAGAGAGACGATGAAACTACACAAGGTTCTCTTCTCTCCACCTCAGGCCAAACCCCTCCCTGCCAAATCCCCTGAGGTACCATTACAGAGTCCACAAGAGGAGGACCAAGTTCTTCAAAGCTATAAGGCCCACATCCAGACATAGCCTAAGCCAGTGGTCCTCAACCTTGGGCCTCCAGATGTTCTTGGACTTCAACTCCCAGAAATCCTGGCCAGAAGAGGTGGTGGTGTAGGCTTCTGGGAGCTGTAGTCCAAGAACATCTGGAGGCCCAAGGCTGGGGACCACTGGCCTAAGCAACAATTATAGAGAAAACTAGAAGCAAACATAACCCCAAACATCTAGTGTAATAACATAACAAAAATAATGTGCCTGTGAAAAAATAACATCACATGATCTAGTGAAGTGGTTCCCAACCTTGGGTCCCCAGATGTTCTTGGACTAAAACTCCCAGAAGCCTTCACCGCTACCTATGCTGGCCATGAATTCTGGGAACTGTAGTCCAAGAACACCAGGGGACCCAAAGCTGAAAACTACTGACCGGAGGAAAGGGGGGGAGAAACCCTGGAGTTCATGTTCTCCATCATCTATGATTCTGGCTCAGCTCTAAGAAAGGCAACAGAAGGAGCCTTTAGATGCTTCACAAAGAAAACTGCTCCTATATAGAACCCCACTGACCCAAATGATGGCGTCAATCCATACGGTGTAGGACCTCAACATAAACACTAGTGAAAGAAATGCTTTGCATGCTAAGAAATGTCCACATGTTGCTTCACAGTTGAAAGGCAGCCATCAAAAGGGTTTTCCCCGCTTCCTTTTCAACAAATTCACTCGACAGTTTAAGCTGAAAAGATAAATTATATTCACTAATTGTTATGAGAATAAACATGAATGCAGTGTACAGTATTAAGAGCTGCATTAGTAAAATTGTTTGATATCAAGTGCATACTTTTTCAACTGCCAGCATTGAAAGATTGTGAACACTGTATACTGGGACTCTGGGTGTGTGAATCAGGGGGACAAGCTCTTGGCCCCATGTGGACTGGGAAAGAGCTGAAGCTTTCTTTGCACTAGCAATCTGCGGAAAGCTTGCTTTCAACAGCAAGCCACTGGATTAATGTAACACATGGTTTGGCCCCTAGAAGGTGAGACAGAAGAGCTGGCGTGTCAGCCCATGTTTGTCATAGCAACAAGGAGAAACCTTGGCAACCACAACAGGTTGTAAAGGAAGGCTTTTCACTCAAAATGACCCTTATCTCAAAATGGCTGCTGTGTGGTTGGCCTCCCACACCGACCAACCACAGATAATTACCATCTCTTGTCTCAGACAAGTAGTTTGGTACTGCTTGTTTTTGGACATAATCAAGAAATCAAAAACTCCTGATTACTGCTTCTGGACCAATTGGAAATGAAACAAAGCATCCAGATTGGGGTGTGGGAGACAGGTAGCACTCTGGCTGAAGACTGCAGCTGGAATTGTGTGGCGAAACATACGCGGGTGGTAGCAGGAAATGAAGATTAGCATCATTTTCAGGGGACAGAGAGTGGTCCATTTGTAATAAGTACATAGAGGGAAATGTTTTCTTAAATTAGAAGAACAAGCTCACAGAAATCCCCAAGGAGCTTGCAGGAAGCCCAAGATTAACCCACAGAGGTGGAGTAAGGAACATTTGAATGGGACTGTGAGGCTATAGGCCAGCTGTGTGTAGGATAACAAGTCCAAGAAAATAGAGAACTTCAAAGTAAGTTGGACTCAGGCCTTCCCATGATTAGGTAAAAGTTCCCCTTGACAAATGTCCAGTTGTGTCCGACTCTAGGGTGCAGTGCTCATCCCCGTTTCCAAGCTGTAGAGCCAGCGTTTGTCCATAGACAGTTTCCGTGGTCACGTGGCCAGCGCGACTAGACACGGAACGCCGTTATCTTCACACCGTGGTGGCACCTATTTATCTACTCACATTTTTACATGTTTTCAAACTGCTAGGTTGGCAGGAGCTGGGACAAGCAACGGGAGCTCACTCCACCTTGTGGATTCAAACTGCTGATCTTGCTGGCCAAAACAACTGCATAATACATTTAATGTACAGAAGATGATTTATCATCAGAAAAATCAAGCGCTGATGGAAGAAATAAGCCATACCTGCATTTTTTCAATCATTTCAAATAAATCGACTGCCTGTGAGAAATAACATGAAGTGAGAAATGAATTTGCAAGTCACTGATAACATTTACTGAATTGCCAAGATGGATATCTAATTTTGTTGTTACATAACCTTGTGTTTAATATTATTCATTGTTTATATCCCCCACTACAAAATTGTGTCTGTCATTTCCACATGAGTTCTTACTGACAAGAGGGGGAGACTTTCACATAAGCATTAACTGCTCAGAAACCAGACCAGAAAATAGTTGGTAAATACATTCTAAGATACAGTATTGTGATTTAACCATCTGACACTGCTACAACAACTAAATTCATCAACTCATTTCTTTTTCAGATACATCATTGTGAAATGAACTAATCAGCTACTTAAAACATTCAAGTAGTTAAACTGAGGAAGAGTTTCCACAGAAACTTGGAAAGGTTCCCTCTAAAACACAAATTTAGATGCTTCTGCCAATCCAGTGCCCCTATTGTACCTGCACTAAAACAGGCTCCTATGTATCTTAGTAGCTGACCACAGAATGATACATTTAAACAGGTGCTGTTTACCTGACCAGTCAGCCCACTAAAACAACTAAACTGGGATGATTTGCCCTTCCCCTAAACAAGGTTAGCCTTGCTCTTTCAAGAACTGAGTCCCCCAGCACTTCTAAAGACTAAGCTTCTAAATGCTTAAACTTGACCTTTATTTTTTCTAGTTGTTATGGAGCGGGCTCTAGTTTATGACTGTGATCTGATAAATTTATGAAGCAATAAATACTTTCAAGTAAGGTTTATCCCCACACACCTCAACTGTCTGATTTTTTAAGCCAAACTGTACACATCCAGAATCCTTAAAATGAAAAGGCAGAGAAGGAGTTAATACCACGTTAGTGAAATGTGGTGGCATAGTAGTAAAGTGGCACCAGTTCTGTCCCATCACACCCCTGTGAGTTTCCCATGAGGAAACATATGTTTGAACCCAGGTCTCCTGAGTCCGAGTCTGTCCTTCCATCCACTACACAACACTGAGTATCTATACGGCAACGAGGAGCCCATATTCAAGGAAGACAAATGTACAGATCCTTTTCAGTACACTTTGGGCTCACTCTCTTTTTTTTAGCAATTTCCCCAATTTCCACTTTCAGCATGTTTGGAATATGCCATTAATGATTTGTACAACAGATCCCTAGGGAGGACTGTCTGTTCTCTGCTCTTAAAAGTGACCGTTTGAGACCAAGGTAACCCAAGCTGCCCTCCCATTGCACCATACAGTTCAGATAAACTAAGCACATTTGATTTTTTTTTCTTTCATCTGTTTCTTTTATTTTTGGCTTAATTCTGAACTAATTTTTCATGGTTTCAAGCAGAGCATTGAAGCATCGATTCTTAGTTTGTCTTCTGGGATTTCACCAGACACTCCCTGCTTGCTTGCTTGCTTGCATTATCCCTACAAACTGAGCAGGAATTCCACTTTGTAAAGTTATGCTTTTATTTTAAATGATAGTATCATAAAGCTCAGTTCATTATTCTTCTGGAAATGGGGCATAAGTCAATATTTATGCACACGTTATTACCTGTAAAAGTTCTCACATTCAGATCCTAGTGCTGAGATTTCTGCTATCAGTATAGGGTTTATAACAACTGGGTAGAAGAACCCAGGTGTCCTTAGACTGCTGCTCCCAGAAGCCTCCATCACTAGCTGCGCTGGCTGTGATTTCTGGGAGTTGCAGTCCAAAGACATCTGGGTTACCCAAGGTTGGGAACCACTGGTCTAATTCAATAAATGAGTGGCTTTACATAAAATAGTATTCTGCTCTTGGGAAGAATTGCAATGCCCAAGGTAGCTGCGCTGGTGTGGTTGAAAGTCAAAGACAAAATAGTCATATATAACAAAAATAATTAGACTATTTGGGAGTGCGGGGACTTTTAAAGCCTTAAGACCAGTTATTATAGCATAAGCTTCTGTAGATTACCATCTGCTTCTTGAGAAGTATGGACCCTCAGATTTACATTGCACAGGCTATACTTCATATAACTGAAGCAGAGGATTATAATTCATAAAAGCTTCTGCTAAAATAAATCTTAGTCCTAAACATGCCACAGGACTCACCTTTGTTTCTTGGCATGATGTTTGTTTGTTTTATTGAAACTATCAGGACTATCTCTCTGAAAATTCTTTAAAGACATACCAGTCTGTAAGAGACCTTCAGATATGCATCTGACGTTCACATGTATACACACATAAAGAAGAAAAAGAATTATCGACATCCACAAGCTCCATCTTGAGCTCACACAGACAGCCTTCCTCCCACCGTGACCCTGAGATGCAGAGATTCAATGACTGTCAGTCTAGGAGTGTTTCTATCTACACTACACAGTTACAGAAGTTTCATATCACATGTATGCTCAACGTTTGTTGCTCTTTTACACAAGTAGAAAGCAAAGATGAAACATCTATTTATTTCCAGCTGGCAATTAAAGAGTCCCCACTGGGATTCTCAAGCCTGCATCAAGACCGTAAGCATGGGTGCCCCCCCCAAAAAACAAGTGACTCTAATTGCTGGCTAGAAGTGAGTGAATGTTACGTCATTTGACTTTTGCCTACACAACAAAGCAAAAAGATTTCAGCCACTTAGTGGTACCACTGACAAAATGCTCTACTGCTGTAGTTGAAGGGAATGCACCAGAGATCACTACTAGAGAGTTTTAAGCACCTTCCCAAACTATACTCGTAGGACTCGATAGGATGGATCCATAACAATTCAAGTGGCATATTGTGCAGCATACATACACTCTAAGAAGGAGGAGGCCCCAAGTTCAAATCCCAAATGAAACAGTCTCAGTTACCCTGCTGCAAGTATTCTCTCTCATATTAATTTGTTCAGTCAAATGGTGGTCGTGCAGATAAAACGGGGGGAGAGAGGAATGCAAGCAGTCTTCAGTTTCTTAGAGGAAAGATAGAGTATTAACTGACTGCAACTAAAATAAATGGATTCCTATTACTGGAGATACTCAGCAAGCAGGTGGAATTCCTTACCTTATTTTGAACAGCTGAATTAAGAGCAGCCTGAGGATCCTGGGTGGGTGAGTCTAAGATGTCACTGATGCAGCGCTCTGCCTCATCAGATCTCCTGTAAAAATGAGGCCATGGTATCACAGTTAGGCTTCTGATTGCAATAAATTCCCTACTTTGTTTAGACCATGACAATTTAGACCATAAAGAGTTGTTGGTGTTTCATGCTGTCAAGTCAGAACTGACTTACGAGGGATCCTAACAGGACTTCCATAAACCCAGTGAGCTTCCATGGCTTAACATACATTCAAACCCAGGCCTCTTAAATCCTAATCCGTGATTCTATCCACTACACCACATTGAGTATATTAGAACAACAAATACTGTACTTCACTCTATTCAAGATTAGATTATTTACACAAGGACTGGCATATTTGAAATTCACAAGAACCTACCCTGTTTCCCCGAAAATAAGACCTAACCTGAAAATAAACCCTAGTATGATTTTTCAAGATGCTCGTAATATAAGCCCTGCCCCCCAAAATAAGCACCAGTTAAGTGAAATCCCACCCTCCACCATTGTGCAGCAACCAGAAGAAGATAACATGGCTGTATTGGAATAAATGTAGATTGTTGTACATGAAAACAAAACATCCCCTGAAAATAAGCCCTAATGCATTTTTTGAGCAAAAACTAATATAAGACCCTGTCTTGTTTCCAGGGAAACACGGTAGGTTTAAGTTAAGACAACCAAACATAAAATACACTTATCCCCCCAGACAGAGCAGTTATCACAGAGATATGTTTCAAATAGTTTTCTCATAAATACGTATATGCCACAGGAAATCCAAAGGGAAAACAGTCTGGTAAGTACAAAACAAAAATCCTTACAGTACTTCTTACAAACTAGATGGATGTTCATGCATCCAGTCCACTATGGGGGACCCTCTTTGCATTTTTCTAAGGGAAGCCATCTCTAAAATAGTTGTCTGCCTACCCCTTCCGGAATTCTGCTACTATCCTCTTGACACTTCAGAGCTGAGCTCTCTACACACCCTATTCCAGTCATCCACCACTTTGACCTGGTGCAGCCATCGTTATTTTTCTATTCTTTCCTCCTCAAGTTTGTAATGTCTGATGAGTATTTGCATGGTTATGAATTACAAGCATGTGATTGATTAAAATAAGAAAAATCTTGAAAAATTGCACTGGGAAGTTTTGTGACTTGCTATTTGGGAGAGCTGAGAAAGAAAAAGGATAAAGTCTTGGGATTACCAAATCTAAGAGCATAACCCTTGAACTGCCTAATCTTTTTGTGACTTGGCATAAGTAATGTCCCAGTCTGATGATAATCATCAATAGGGTGTGTCCAGTTTCTGCATAAGCAGGACAGTGTGGCTTGTGCAAGAATTAGTGAAACCTCAAGATAATACTGTCCCATATCTGTATGTGAAACTGACAAAAACACATGTCAATATTGCAAGGGTTCCTATAAAGTTGTTGTTGTTTTGACTTATATACTCTCCCCCCCCCCAATAGTGCTAAAGTCGTCTCTGGGCAGTTTACAACATAATTATGCAAACACTCCCCTATCCCCGTGCGAGCTGAGTATTCATTTTACCAACCTTGGAAGGATGAAAGGCTGAGTCAACTTTTAGCCAGCTAGCTGAACCCATCCAGATCAAACTCAAGTCGTAAGCAGAAGCTTGACTGCAGTACTGCAATTTAACCACTGCATTCCAGAGCTCTTACATTCTCTTCCTTAAAACCCATTTTTCCATTATAATAGCAGACAGCTCCATAATATTAACAAGAAACTAGAGCAGAAGTAATGTCACTAATAATAGATGACATACCCTACCTTTAAAGCAATTTACAAAATGCCTTGTCATTACCGGTAACCAGCCAGTACTCTAGGGAATGAAAGGCCATTTATCGAAACAATGAAAAGAGAAACTCAATCTAAGAATTGTGGGTCAAGCTGTACATTATAGGAAAAGCTGAAATCATGATTCAGTCATGTTACATCTGAGGAATCAGACATACAAAGGGAAAATGTACTTACCGCCTGAAAACCAATTCTAAAATAAAGAAACCTAATAAGCAAACAGGAAATGAGAAAGGATCCTGCTTCTACAATCGCATAAAATGAGCACATGAGGAATTCCTACCCCTGGCAATGGGCTATCCACAACGTGTATTTTGATCCAGTATGCAAGACCAGTTTGCATGGAGAATGCCACGATACACAGTATGCCATTTCAGATGCTACGATACAAAAACCAGAGTCACACGTAGACAAAACCTGCCATACTTTCCAAAGTGAATCCAGTATCCAAACTGCAGTCTACACCACCTGTCATAACAACAACACTGCATAGAGGAGAAACAGCATTACTGTCTATATCTCTGTTTGTCCCTGATGCTAACGAAGAGGACAAAAGAGAAAGTAGCACAGCAAGGGGCAATAATTGTTTCCAAGCAACCCACTCAGAAGTTTTCCAGTAAAAACTTGATCCAAACAAATGGGCAGAGAAATTCTGGAAAAAAAAGCACAACCTAATCATCATCACTCATTCACATGGGTTAATCATTTATATCTTAGGGAAATTAAGTTGCTCACTTATTGCTTTACCATGTAGATTTAAAACAACCAGGGAATCAAATAAAACTAGCTCCACTGCTAATACGCCATCCGCTCACAAATCCCAAAGGACAGTTCCGAGTTATATCAAGCCTTCCAACTCTGGATTTAAAACCTAGTGGTGTAAAGTGATGGTACAAAACATTGTGGTACCAAACATGCATTGAGGATCCTTTCCAAGGGTTGGAATCTTAAAGACCCTATACGTTTATTTGGTTTTTCACTCTTTAATTGAATGTTGTGTGAAGAAAATAAGACAGAAAAAAAATGGGTGGGTTACAAAGGGAAGATATTGTTGTCTGAACCCCACTGCAACCTTCCCTGGACTGGCAATCTCAACATCTGTCTGGAGGCAGCCTACTAAGCATTTCATACACCACAAAGCATCAGGAAGGCCTCCCTAAGATCTTCTATGAGTCTGCAGCTGAAAGAAGATTTGAACTTGGTGTTTCTTGGCATGCAACTTACAATTTTAACTGCAACAACCCCTGGCCCTATTCAGCCAAAGGAGAAGAGAGAGCTCACTCTACTAGTTCACTCACTAAACTCATTGTCTCTCATGGGTTGGAGGCAACCAAGCACAGCAGGTTGTCTCCAGTACCTCTGCAGGATCCGTCCATGTATGGTTTGGAACCTTGATCTTCCATGTAAAGAGGTGACAAGAATGATGACAGAGAGAGGAGGTATTGGTGGCATGCTTGCTCTTCTTTGCTCCCTCCCCTCATGTTTTCATAAAACAGTAGTTGCCATTCTTGGCTTCCAAGAGGTACATGGACTACAACTGCCAGAAATCCTGGCCAGCACAGCTGGCAGTGAAGGCTTCTGGGAGGTCCAAGAACCTCTGGGGATTCAAGGTTGGGAAAACCACTGCCATAAAACAACTTCTCTGGATATCTGAATGGATTTCTTGCATGGTCCCAATGTCTTCCTATCAGGTGGTTGAAATGCAAGTTTGTAACTGGCTGTGATTACTTTACTTAAAGAGATAAAAAGAAACCCAGGAATGGAAGTTGCCCTACTCACCTACAAGAAAAAAACCTATGCTCTAGACAAGAGACTACAGCTGGGATAAATATGAAGAAACAGAACTGTTTCTCACTGGCAAATGTGTATTTTTCTCCATGTCCTATATCCATGTGTAGAATTTATCATACAGAAAGCTGGATTAAATTCAGACAAAGAAGTATAAATTGGTGGGGAAAGGATCAATACTTTAAGATATGCAGATTACACTCTGGCACAAAGAAGCAAAGATATGAAAAGGCCGCTGGTGAAAGTGAACAAATGAAGTAGAAAAGCAGTCAAAAATTAAGACAAAAATTATGGCTATAGAACAATTACAGGTATACAGTTTTAATGCAGCAGACAATGAAAATACAAAACCTGTTTAAAATATTCTACACCACAGTTCAATCAGCATTCCAAATTAAGATTGCGGTCAAGAAATCAGAAAAGGACTGAGACTCAGAGCAGCAGCCACAAACAAACTAGGTAAGAGCAAGGATGTGTCACTGGAGACCACTGCAAAAGTCGCACATCGGGCTACTATGATCACTATGAACTATGTAAAATGTGAAAACTGGGCACTGAAAAAGCTTAAAGGAAAAAAAATCAATTAATTTGAAACATTGTGTTAGAGAACTTCACAGATACCACTGACTGCTAGAAAGACAAGTGGGTGCTACAGCAAATCAAACATGAATTCTTCCAAAAAGCAAAACTGACTAAACTACAGTATTGTGTTTTGGACTTTATCATGAGAAAATAAGATTCACTAGAAAAGAAAAAAAGGCTGGCAGAAGGTGAAGGAAACAAGGAGGAAACTAAGTAGAAGACAGATTGACTCAATAACGGAAGCCATGACTTGAGTCTGCAAGAAATAGTAGGGCTTTGGATAAGTCATTAATTCTTAGGGTCACCATAAATTGGAAGTGACTTAAAGGCATCTCACAACAACCACGAGTGACTCATCACACTTTCCTTCCCCATTTTGAAACACACTCTAGTTGGTAAAATGATAACCAAAGATTCAGACTTCTGTGCCTCTGCCACTGTTGGTTTGTTTAGCTTGATGACAACGGTTGGAGAGCACCAAAATTTGCTTTCATATTATGCTGTAATTACAGTTTGTCCCAATAAAAATATTGCTTGCCTTTGGATTCTTAAGTTTTTACAAAGGTATAAGGACAAAATGCATTGGCAAAATTTGTTCCAGGTTGCTCTGAGAGTGGCAAAGTACTCCTAGTGTTCTTTCTGGACATAAACCTCAGGGGGGGAAACAGCAGGACAACTTACAACATTAGGCATTTTTATTTACATACACTAACATTTACTCTAATAATATGAAATAATTTAAACATATTGGATTACCTATATTCCACACTGGATTGCCTATATCCCAAGTTATGATATTTTGGCCTACTCTGCTCCTATGGAACCATAAGGTCCGCCACGACTTTTGCTGAATAAGAACT